GGCCGGGCTACCCCGATTGACATGCCTAATATTCTTCTAAAGAAAAGGAAATTTATGTATTGTATCTATGCGCTATGAAGAAATTCAAACACACTTCTTCTCACCAAATTGACTATACTCTTTTCATGGTTGTGGATGAATTACAATGAAAAGAGCATGCACAATTGCAAATAGAGTTTCTGTCTCTTTAAAATTGTCCTGCCAACTTAGTGATTTGTGAAGAAGAAAAAGAGAAGGCGTGGGAATATAGGGTAATATCAAAGTGGGCCGGGAGCAATGAATCATGTTGGATAAGACTGAAGAGCTGGACTGGTCCAGGACTTGTTCAAATTGATTTTTGAGTTAATTTTGTGATGTTTATGATCCTATAAGAGCAACATTATTGGTAGTCTCTTAAGACAACTCTTATGTTAAGAGACATGTCTTATAACTAACAAAAATATCTTAAAATCTCTTAAATAAGCAAAAGACATGTCTCTTAACATAAGAGTTGTCTTAAAAGACCATCAATAAGGATGGTCTAAGAAGTTAATCAGAAGCTCTTTTTTTTTTTTCTTACTTTCACATGGAACTAAAGTAAGCCAAAGTGAAATGTTTACTCTTCTCCTTTAATCGTGGCTGTCTTTTCCTTGTAGAAATTTTTTCTCACATTAGCAACAAATTTTCTTCAAATCTCAATCAAACAACAGCTTTCACATAGACATTTAGATATTTCTATTTATCAAAAGGAAAAGAAGAAACGAAAAAACATTAGTTGATTCACATTTAGTTTAATAGAAATATCTTGTGTCTTAACAAGACAAAACACTTCTTACTATCATGAAATTGCCAACGTCACTAACTTTTTCATCTTTACTTTTCTTTCCTTTTGTCAATAAAGAGAAGATCAATTACCACCTCGAGGGAAAAAAAACATTATAATTAATTACTACTATATATCCACTATCAACTGTAAGAATATAAATTTTTATTAGTTACACTAAATATTGTCTTTTATATAATTACAACAATATATACCCACACCAAAAAATAACTAACCCATGATGACATCAATTAATATGTATTTTTCTAGAAAATATATTCCAAACATCATCTCCGTGAATTTCATTGCGAAGATCTGTCCAACCGCAACAAAACATGTTACTTGATACTCCATTTGTAGCATTATAAGTGATTTTTAAAAAATTTATACACAAATTCATAAAATACATAATTTTTATTTAATTTATCTCTTTTACATAAAACACCATTGAGTAAAATGATATCAACCAATAAAAATATATACTCTAAAATATATTGGGTCAAAAAAAAAAAAAATTTGCATAAAAATTTGAAAATATCACTTAAAATGAAAAAACAAATGATTTTAAAACATGACTTATAGTCTTATAGACTTATAGTGATACACAGGGATATTAAAATTCAGCTAAAAGAAAATTAAAGATCCGACCCAAATTCCAAAAAAAAACCCAACCAAAGTTTAACACAGCCCAAAACAAATAAGTTAACTGAACCCAACCACCTATATAACCCGACCCTCCCCAAATGACATTAAATCAATCAAATACTCCCTCCGTTTTCGAATAGTTGTCGTTTTAACTATATGCACACAAATTAAGAAACTATTAATGTTGTTAGTTTTTCAATATAAAAATATCATTAATTATCTACCTAAACATAATTTAACCAATAGTAAATCAAGTTGCATAATAAAAATAAGGGTTTTGTGCAAAAAAACCCTCGAAGTAGCCAATTTTTGCAAGAAAACCCTCCATCTCAAATAAATGCAAGTCAATACCGCCATCTCAAAAGTCACCCGCAATATAGCCCTCGCGTGTATCGATGACGTGGCAGCCGTTAACTCCGTCAGTGGGTTTTGTGCAAAAAAACCCTCGAAGTAGCCAAATTGCAAAAAAAACCCTTCATTAAACCAATTTTTGAAAAAAAAACCCTTTCGGGTATTTTAAAATTCGGGTACGGGTTCGGGTTTACCTATAATACCCAAAAATAAAAATTGTTGTATGTAAATCTATCAACCCTATTGTTCGTACCGAAGTTGCAATAATAAATAAGTAGGAGTTTTTGGGAGCGAACAGAGATATTTCTCTTATTAACGATAATCGTGCTTCTGTGATTACAGAGATGGAATTCGAGTGAACGAGAATACGAAATATACGCAAGAGTTAGCTATGATTTTTAGAGAAGTAATATATGTTTTGTCGAGGCTCTGAGCCTTACAGAAGGTGATTCCGTGTCGGGCACGTTTTTCGAGGCTCTGAGTCTTACAGAAGTTGATTTCGTGGCTTGCACGTTTTTCGAAGCTCCGAGTCTTACAGAAGTTGATTTCGTGGTTTGCACGTTTTTCGAGGCTCTGAGCCTTACAAAATATTTTTTCTCTTTTGCGACGAATTTGGGCTTTTACAGAAGATTTTCTGCTTTTACAGAAAACTTATGTAAATTTTACAGAATTCTTCTGTTAAACCCTAGATTTTTCCTTCTCCTATAAATGGCTCCACCATGTCTTACTTTGATCATGCCAATGATCAGAAATTTAAGAAGATATCAAAATCGATTATTACCATATTGTTTCCTTTGCTTCCCCGTACAATCGAATTCTCCAACAGTCGCTTTTTCAAAACAAACCTTGGCTACTTTGAGGGTTTTTTTGCACAAAATTTGGCTACTTTGAGGGTTTTCTTGCAAAACTTGACTACTTTGAGGGTTTTGTTGCACAAAAGTTCACTCGTCGTGACGTTTTGGAACGGAGTTAACGGCTGCCACGTCATCGATACACGCGAGGGCTATATTGCGGGTGACTTTTGAGATGGTGGTATTGACTTGCATTTATTTGAGATGGAGGGTTTTCTTGCAAAAATTGGCTACTTCGAGGGTTTTTTTGCACAAAACCCTAAAAATAAATATAAAAAATAAAAAAGTAATAAATTTTGCATCGAAAACTGAAAACGACAACTAATTAAAAACAAAAAAATTTCTCTAAAACGACAACTATTCGAAAACGGAGGTAGTAGATTTTACTCTATGTTGAACATGAAAAAAGAAAACTTTACTCTATGTAAGTAAGACTCACATACATAGCATGGTAGGCCACTAGGCCTAATTGCATGTATACAAATTTAACTAAATTGAAAAGAAAAAAAAAAATGTGACAATTTGGTCATATTACTCCCGACTACATTAACATTCGTAAATAGCAGTCATAGGATACGAACTTGAACTCTCTTTTTTTTTTGTTCATAATTAATTTTATTGTTTCTCAATTATATATATTTTGACTAGTAATCTATAGGTTAATTCAGTAACGAATGGTAAGATTGATGAACGGATGGACCATCAATCCACTACGCAGTTAAGGGACCAACTTTCCTCAAGTGAGGAAATAGGATCGCGACTACCACTTCCTACACACCCGTGATAATATTGTCAACGTCATTCATGCTTTTTCACCTAAATTTCTTTATCTTAGTGGACTAGGCAATCAATTTGAAAACTCTACACTGAGTTCCAAAGTTTAACAAAACCATAAATGATACAAATATGTTATGTTTCGTCGTACAACAAGTTTCACTTTGGCTACACACTAAAACAAAAAAACTAACAATTTTCCATGATTAAGGTCAAATGCTGATAAACAATGTATTTTACACAACGTTAGATTCTTGTTTCTTGACAGTCGATCTGTGTTTGCCGGAAATCCGTCAAAAACGATTGTTTTGTGATGGATTTCTGACAGCCATATATATATATGTCAGAAATGAGTTATTTTCTTCTAATGGTTAAGCATCGTCTTTCGCATTTCAACTATCACTTTTTCAAAGTTTTTGGCTATAAAGTTCACAACCATAAGGTGTTTTATCCACATTGGAATGTTTTCAACTAGATCCACCCCTCTTTTATAGTCCCTCATTCCAAAATAAAACACAAATAACGTAAAACTTGTCCTAAGGAAGCATAAGTTGTACGCTTTCTATAAGGGCCGGACCAAGTAAAAGAAAATATAAATTAATTTGAAGCTAAACATCATAAGTTTGATAATAATCAAAGAAAATTTTCCAATTTATCGTGACAAGGTTTGCAACAAATCAAAATCAATACAACGACAACGTGAAAATAAAATAAACATAAACCTTTTTTACTCATAAATGAAGTGTCCTGGACCATGAAGAATGCATGAGAAGACAGGGTAGGGAGCAATTCTAGGGAAAGACGGACGACAACAAAACGTCAAACCTAACCTATAAAAATTAAAAACGTGAATCATATATAATGAACCGTAATGAAACAAGAAAAAAGTTAATAGTGAAAAGTTTAAGAAAATGAAGCTAATAATGGGTCTTTTTAACATAATAGTTTCACATGTAACCACAAACACACACTAATAATGTTTGAAATGTAAACTAAGGGAAACTTAAATGATTTCTAAGTACAAATTACAAGTACATGATGAAAACTGAAAAAGGAGCAAATGCTCGGAAGTGCATTAGCAAACAAGATATTTTTAGGAAATTTTGAATAACTTACACATTTTGATAAAGCACAAAAATTCTCAAAAGTCACTTTTTTTTTTTTTTGGAATAATCTAGGGCATGGGCAGTGGAGCATCTTCACGGTTGTAAGTGGTAATAAAAAAAGCAAAAAATTGTCTCTCTCTTCACATCCGGGTGTAAGTTTACACTCGGGTGTAACACTCACTCTCTCTCTCTCTCTTCTTTCTCTCTCTCTTTTCTCTTTTTTAGACAACTTTTGCATTAAATCAGTTTTTTTTTAATACTTACACCCCCCCAAACAAATGCCCCACTGCCCTTGGTCTAAGGTTTCAAGAATAGATAAATAAATCATCAAATAATTGAAAGCACAGTAAAACTAAAATCTACATCTCTTGCTACTAAAAAGAGAGTTGTGATAAGGTGGTGGGGCCTTTCATTTGGTCTTCTTTATTTTGAGTCCATATATAGAGAAATTGGAAGAAGCTGATCAAAAGGTTCAAAACCAAAACCACTTTTCAAACATTGGAAATAACTAAATAGTGAACACAAAGATGGCCAAAGTGTTGACACTACTTGTTCTCCGACTACTCATGAACCTCTTACTTATCGGTTGGATTTCTCTCTGGATCGTCAAACCCACGACCCTATGGATACAATCTTGGCGTCAAGCTGAAGATACCGCCAAACACACTTTCTTCGGCTACAACGGTAAACCCTCAAATAAACCACACAAAAATCTTTTATTGTACTTCAATATAAGTCTAATTTTTTGCATTTATGACTTGTAAGGTCTCAACTTTGCCGTATTCTCATTCCCTCCTATTGCTCTCTCTATCGTTGGACTCATTTACTTGAGTTTACTGCCACAACATCATCATCCAACAAGGTAAAAATAATTTCAGTCCCAAGTCAAAAGTTGAAAGTAAGTAATGATCAAAACTTTGAAGTAGTGTTTTGTCAAGTTGTAGAGGAGGTAGGAGTGCAGCTATTACTGTCTCAAGACCAGCCATTATCAATAGCTTCATTGGAATTGTGTCTTGTTTCGAGATACTTGCTCTTCTTTTGTTCCTCCTCTATCTTGCTTGGAACTTCTATGCCCGCGTCTCTAACGACTTCAAGAAGCTAATGCCTGTCAAAACCCTGAATCTTAACTTGTAAAACCTCTTTCCAATTCCAAATTCAGCAGTCTTTCTATTTATAGTTGTTAAATATTAATTGTTGACTTATTATTATATGTTTTCAGATGGCAGCTTAAGTACTATAGAGTTGCTACAAGGTTCGGTCTATTAGCCGAAGCATGTCTCGCTCTTCTTCTTTTCCCTGTCTTGAGGGGATTCTCGATGTTCCGGTTACTTAACATTGAGTTTGCAGCTTCTGTAAAATATCATGTGTGGTTCGGGACCGGTTTGATCTTCTTTTCTTTGGTCCATGGTGGAAGCACTCTGTTCATTTGGACTATTACTCATCACATTGAAGAAGAGGTAAATTTTAATAACTCAGTTTCTTATAACAATCTTTAATTACTGTCCTGACTCTTTCTTGTGGTAAAAACAGATTTGGAAATGGCAGAGAACGGGTCGGGTATATGTAGCTGGACTGATCAGCCTTGTAACAGGATTACTGATGTGGATCACATCACTTCCTCAAATTAGAAGGAAAAACTTTGAAGTTTTCTATTACACACACCATTTGTATATAGTTTTTCTTGTAGCTTTCTTGTTTCATGCCGGTGATCGTCACTTTTACTGGGTGCTCCCCGGCATCTTTCTGTTTGGACTCGACAAGATACTTCGGATTGTTCAATCACGATCCGAAAGCTGCGTTCTTTCCGCCAATCTCTTCTCTTGTAAAGCCATTGAGCTTGTATTGCCAAAGGATCCAAGTAAGAAAGTTAATATCTTTTAGTATTATTTACACATAAATAAAAGTTACTTAATATTGGTGAATTATTTTTGTATTTTGCAGGGCTTAACTATGCACCCTCAAGTTTTATATTCTTGAACATTCCGTTGGTCTCACGGTTTCAATGGCATCCCTTTAGTATTATATCGAGCTCGAGTGTAGACAAACACACATTGTCTATTATGATGAAATGTGAGGGAGATTGGACAAATTCTGTTTATAATAAAGTAGAAGAAGCGGCAAATTCTGAAATGAAGATTAACAACATAACCGTAAGAGTAGAAGGTCCTTATGGACCTGCCTCGGTAGATTTTCTCAGGTTACTAAAACACTCTCTACATATCAGCTCAATTCCAATAAATTGTTTAAAACTTAAAATTATTGATCTGTTTGGCAGGTATGATAATCTGTTTCTTGTGGCGGGAGGGATCGGGATTACGCCATTTCTAAGCATTTTGCAGGAACTCGCGTGCAAAAACCGACTCAAATCTCCCAAGAGAGTGCAGCTTGTGTTTGCGGTTAGGACATTTCAAGATCTTAACATGTTGCTTCCAGTTTCCTCTATACTCTTTAACCCAACCAACAACTTAAACCTCAAGTTAAAAGTTTTTGTTACTCAAGAAAAAAAGCCTTCTAATGGTACAACAACATTGCAAGAGTTCTTGGCTCAATCACAAGTTCAGTCTATTCACTTCAAAACCGACGAGGACTATTCAAGATTCCCAATTCGCGGGCCAGAAAATTTCAGATGGCTTGCCACATTAGTCCTTATAACCGTGTTTACGTTTCTCGGCTTCTTGATAGGTTTAAGCCATTTCTTTATACCTTCTGAACACAAGAATCATTCAGGGATTGTGAAGTTAACTGCTTCAGGAGCAATGAAGACAGCTAAAGAAAAGGTTCCTTCATGGGTTCCAGATTTGATTATCATTGTCTCTTACGTTATCGCTATCACAATAGGTGGTTTGGCTGCAACAATTCTTCAATGGAGAGGAAAACACAGAGAGGCACAAAGAATGTCTAAAGAAGAAGTAATTAAACCAGAGGAAAGAAACTTCACCGAGTTAAAACCAATTCCTCTTATTGAGGAACATGAGATACATACCGGAGAAAGGCCAAAACTCGAAGGTACTTGTTAATTAAAACTACAATCTTCTTGAGTTATAATGTCTATAAAGTTGTATGTATTTATTTTTGTAACACAGAGATAATGTCGGAGTTTGAGAAGAACTTGAGAGGATGGTCGAGTATAGGAGTGTTGGTATGTGGACCAGAGTCAATGAAAGAAGATGTGGCATCGATGTGTCGCAAATGGCCTCAGGGTTTTGGAGTAGAGGATTCAGGAAGAAACCGAATGAAGATGAATCCAAATTTTCATTCTCTTAATTTTAACCTCTAATCTAAAAGCATTTTCTAAGTTTGTATCGTTAGTTTCTCATTCACGTGTACTTTTTTATCTTACAATTGTATAATTTTTGGGTCTCTATCTTGTTATAATGTTTTGAGTTTGATCCTTCTTCTCAAAGGAGAATTTGCATATAATGCAAATTTGTTTTTCTTTTCTTTATCTGGTATTTTCTTTTGGAACTTAAATATAGCTAGGTAAGAACATTCGCCATGAACAGGTAATTCTTATGCTATTTGATTTTATGAATATATCTTATTTACAGTAAATTTATACATTATAAGTTTATTAAGAATGAATTTTTATTTTACGTTTAAAGAGTACATAATACTTTTTTAACCCAACTCAGAAATAAAAATGGACTATATCTTACAGATCTTTAGATCGAATTGGTTTAATTATGGATTAATGGCATGGTAAAGTTTTATTAAAATTTAGAAAAATACATTTACACATATATAGAGTACATATAATCATATCTATGAAAGATGGCTTACTCTCTCCATATGAGTGTCACGTACGTCGTTATTCCAGAGGCTACCACGTATAATCACCATAAATTCGCTAGTCTCTTTATAGTTGCCAATTGGATAATAATTTTTTTCCATCGAAAATAATATTTACAGTAAATAATTTAGTATACTTTTATACGTTTTAACTGTAATTAATATATTTTTATGATTAATGGTTACGGTTTTAACCGTTTCATACAATTACAGTTGAAAAACCGTATGGTTATAGAAAACAGTATGCGGTTATGGTTTGATTTTGTTCATGGTCTCTATCTTATTTTTATGTTTGCAGTTTGATCCTTAATTTGTCTCAAGGTTGAATTTGCAAAAAAAATACAATTTGGGTTTTCTTAATTTCGCATTGTTCATGGAATTTAAATACAATGCCACTAAACCAGTAATTAATTCAATAACCAAATGATATTAACCCAAAGAGAGTAAACCGACTAAAGTAGCTCTAATACACAATGTAAGCAAACTTTCTATCAATACGGCCAACTCTAAAAACAAATGTAAAATTTTGTGGCCCAAAATACGTGTAAGACAAATGACTGTGACACATAGGCCTAGAACTTCATGTGGAAGTTTTGGTGCAGTTACGTGACTTACGTACGTCAAACAAAATCACCAGCCGCCTTGAAATTTCAAATTTGTGGATTGAATCTAAAAATCTGAAACCATATACGTAATAACTAATAACTGTATAAGATTTATGTTACATCCTTAAATTTGCAATCGTACGTTTTGGGCAATGTATACATTGAATAGAAGAGTCTTTTTTTTTTTTTTTTTTTTTTTGAATAGAAGAGTCTTGTATTAACATAGTTACGCGAATGGATATTTTCTCTTTTTCTTTTTCTAGGGGATGGAGTTATCAAAACTTACATGCAAAATATTGAGAAACAAATTTGCTATATAAACGTAGGTACGTAACATAATAGATTTTTAAGAATATACCTCAAAGGAAAACAAAATATTTGAAAGAAATAAATCCTAATAAAATATCTGTTTGTCCAAAAAAAAAAAATCTTATCTAAAATAAAGAAATAAACATACCTTAGAAATTTTTTAAATACATTTAAATAGGGATATAAAATAGCATAGATTATGTACAAAAATAATTATTTAGAAATCATTTTTTTCCAAAAATTGTTTAACATTATCTAAGAAATATTAGTTATGGTTTTAATTAATATTTAATAATGGGGTACTATATTCTTATTATATACAATTAGTTGATGTAAGTAACAAAAATTAATACCTCAAGAAGTTTTTAAAACTAATTAATATTCTTTGTTTGCTCTATTTTAAAACGTATACAGTATTTTTCTATTATTTAGCTTTAAACCATCACAAATATGTAGATCACTTTTATCGAACCGAAATAAATATCGAATCGAAATAAATCTACCAAAATTAATTTTGTTATTAACAAAAAAATAGCAATATTTTTGGCGTAGTTCTACCATATCCACTTTAGTTAAAGAAAGAAATCACAACAATTCCCACACTTCAATAATTAAATCCACAAAATCTTGGAGTAGGTAAGAGAAATAAAAAGATGGTAAAAAGATCTTACATAAACAATTCAAAGATGCCCTCTCTCACAAATCACAATTCACACACACTTACAAGACAAAAGACAGAAACATTGTTTTTATTCAATCTAGTACAAAGAGCTCAAATTCTAATAACTCTTTTATTTCCCAATTACCCGAAGATTCTCTCTCAGTTCACAAAACTAGCTTTGAGAATCGTGTGTTCCACAAAATCCATTAAAGCTGAAACGGTTTTGCTCACAATTCAAACAAAAACAACAAATAATGAAAAAATTGTTAAAATATGGATGTGTTTTTAGTCAAGTAAGTCATGACCCCACTTTTCTTACCTTAGTTAGACTCTATTATCTCACCGGAGTTCGATTCTAGTAAATCACGTTACCTCGCATAATAGAGATTTTCTATGAATTTTGTCGATCCAAAGATGTAAAAAAAAAAAAAAACTTAATTAAAAAATGAAAAATCAGTAAAAAGAGTGAACCAACAAAAATCGCCGAATGTGTGTAATGAGAAAACCGACCCATCATCCCAATATCTCTTTCCGTGTCACTCTCTTCCTCTCCCACGTTTTGCTTCTTCTCTCTTCGCTTTATGGGTTTTAATAACTTCCTCTTCTTCTTCAATCTTCAGTTTTCAAATTCACATTTCTTCGATTCCTTCTCCTTCATCATCCTCTCTCTCGCTTCTCTCTCAAATCGATGAGGCTCTACGTCTACATATTACAAGCCAAAGATTTACCAGCCAAAGACACATTCGCGAAGCTTCACGTTGGGAAACACAAGTCCAAAACGAGAGTCGCGAGAGACACTTCGTCTCCGATCTGGAATGAGGAATTCGTTTTTCGAATCAGTGACGTCGACGAAGGTGACGATGTTGTTGTATCGATTCTTCACCATGAGCAGCAAGATCATCAGTCTATTGTTTCCACCACCGGATTAATTGGTAAAGTTCGGATTCCGCTTTGTTCCATTGCTGCTGAAGAGAATCAAACTTTGTTGCCGACTTGGTTTGTTATTGAGAAGCTTAGTGATGGCAAGTTCGTTAACATTGACTGTGGTTAGTTTCTCTGATTCTTGATATCGATTTTTGTTTTTGTTGGATTTTGATTCTGTAATCACTTGTGGAACCATTAGAGTTTAAACGTTTAGCATTAGAGGAAATGTTGTGCCTACTTTGTTGATTATGATTAAGTGACTTGTAGAGGTGTGTATGGAGGTTTTGGTTTATCTATGGATATGAACTTTACCTTTGTCTATCAGGGAAAATTCTTCTGAGTTTGTCATTGCAAGGGAAGTGGGAAAGTACATCTGGTGAAAAGGTTCTTAATGATAAGCAGGATATTAACTTGGAGGGTGTGAAAGAACTCGAAGGATCGCCTAAAGATTTGATATCCTCGAAAGATGGGAGACGGCGTAAACACCATGATGGGAAGCATATAATGAAGAATTTTGTTAACCAGATTGACAAGCTTTTTCATAAGAAAGAGGAAATATCTAAGAGGCTTCATGATGAATCATCGGTTGGACAAAGCGTTAACTCAAATTATGAGGATGCTACTGACAAATGTTCTTCCTCTGCTACTTGTACTGGCTTTGAGGAAGGCCTTGACCTGATGCAGTCTAGTGATAGTGAAAGAGAAGAAATGCCTGAGAATCTTCAAGGGGGAATTCTTCTTGATCAGAAATATTTAGTTTCACCTTGTGATCTTAACAAATTTCTTTTCACGCCTAGTTCGCAATTTAGGAAAGAATTGGCGGAACTTCAAGGTTTATCAGATGTACAGGAAGGGCCTTGGACAATGATACAGGAAGATACTCCTCGTCTAACACGGGTTGTTACATACATGAGAGCTGCAACAAAGATGGTCAAAGCAGTAAAAGCAACAGAAAATCAAGTTTACCGGAAAGCTAGCGGGAAGCAGTTTGCTGTTTTTGTTAGTGTAAGCACACCAGATGTTCCATATGGAAATACCTTTAAAATAGAGTTGCTTTACAAGATACTACCTGAAACAGAGCCAACTGCTGGTGGGGAATCTTGTCGACTGATCATATCATGGGGAATTCAGTTTAATCAAAGTACTATAATGAAAGGTATGATTGAAGGAGGTGCTAGGCAAGGGCTGAAAGAGAGCTTTGAACAATTTGCTAATCTCCTGGCTAAGACTTACAAAACTCTTGATCCGGCTGTTGTATTGGACAAGGAGCAGGTTATAGCAACAGTGCAGTCAGAGCAAAAGACTGATTTGAAATCAGCTTTTCTATACTTTTGGAGTTCCTCTGTCATCTGTGCTGTTCTTTTGTCTGTATATGTTGTAGTTCATATGCTCCACTGTGAGCCCAGCAAAATCCAAGGGTTTGAATTCTATGGCCTTGATTTGCCCGATAGTTTTGGAGAGCTATTCAGTAGTGGAATACTAGTTCTTCTTCTGGAGCGTGTTTATATGATGACTGTGCACTTCATACAAGCTAGATTGCATCGAGGCGAGTTTCTCTATACATAGCACCTTCAAACTTGTATTGCTTGCGCAGTCCAATTGACGTCTAGTTTTTTATTCTTGATTTCAGGAAGAGATCAGGGAGTCAAAGCAAATGGTAAGGGATGGATTCTGACAATAGCTTTAATTAAGGGCACAAATTTGGCTTCAGTGGAAGCAACAGAGCTCTTTGATCCGTATGTTGTTTTCACTTGCAATGGGAAAACAAGAACAAGCTCTGTCAAACTCCAAGCTCAGGATCCTCAGTGGAATGGTAATCAAACTTTTTTCTCTTATTTATCTCTTTATTGTCAATGAATATCCTGTGTCTCATTTTTCTATCTGTCATTATTCTAATATATCGCCATAGTGCCACTAAAATACATGTTGTGGTTCTTGCAGAGGTAATCGAGTTTGATGCCATGGAGGAACCACCATCGGTATTAGATGTGGAGGTATTCGATTTTGATGGTCCATTTGACCAGGGTGCTTCTCTTGGGCATGCAGAGATCAATTTCTTGAAACATACAGCCGATGAACTTGCGGACTTGAGTGTTCCTCTAGTTGGTCATCATGCTCAAGCCTCCCAGTCAAAGTTACAATTGCGAATTTTTCTGGAAAACAAGAACGGGGTTGAAACAATAAAGGATTACTTGAGTAAGGTGGAAAAGGAAGTTGGCAAGAAGGTAAGCATGTGCATCTACTTTAATGAACTATCAATAACTGGTCAGCCATTTGCGACTCTTGTGGTTACTGGAAAAAGCCTTTATTATTTTCATGTGCAACCCTGATTTCTGCTCTCTTGTTGTATGTGTTGACAGCTGAACATTCGGTCACCACAGAAGAACTCCGCTTTCCAGAAACTCTTTGGTTTGCCCCATGAAGAATTTCTTCTCAAAGAATATACTTGTTACTTGAAGAGGAAACTGCCTGTGCAGGTTTGAATCTGTTTTCTTTTCCTTTGGCAGATTCTTGAACTAGTTTTCCCTTCTATACCAAAGAAATATCTTCGACAGCGTGGTGGACTTCACCCATAGATCTTTGTGGATTGTAGTTAAGCGAGAATACAGAAAACACGACGCATTATGATAGTATAGAACTGATATTAGAATCTGAGATCTGCTTGCTATTAATGTTGACAGGGCAAGCTTTTTCTGTCTGCTAGAATTGTGGCTTTCTACTCAAATGTGTTTGGACACAAGACAAAGTTTTACTTTCTTTGGGAAGATATTGATGACATCCAAGTGCTTCCCCCAACTTTTGCTTCCTTAGGAAGCCCGTTGCTGCTCATTATCCTGAAAAAGAACCGAGGTCTTGATGCAAAGCATGGTGCTAAATCTCAGGATGATGAAGGAAGACTTTGGTTCTATTTCCAGTCATTTGTGTCATTTGATGCGACCAGCAGGTACTTGAAGGAATTTGGTTTACGCGCTTATCAACGACCAAACCCAAAGCGATTAGTTTTCTGTTTGTAACGATATTGAATGTGAACTATTCATGAAAATGGCAGGACAATCATGGCTTTGTGGAAAACAAGGACATTAAGTGTAGATCATAGAGCACAAATAGCAGAAGAAGACCAAGATGTGGCAGATCCTTTCCTCTTGCCTGAAGCTGTTGCAGTTGTTTCAGATACGGATGCATTAATGATGTCAAAAGTGTACACGTGTGATCTACCTTGCGATGTATAAATCAATTTTCACTCCTCATATGCTATTTCCATTTAATAGAGGCTATGCAACTCTGGAGTGTTAGTGAGGATGGGGTTCTCAGAACTTGATTTCAAAAGTTTTTCTGTTACAGGTGGAATTAGTAATGAAGATCTTTGGTGGAGGAGAATTGGAGCGTAAGATCATGGAGAAATCCGGATGTCTGAGTTACGCGAGTACAACATGGGAATCTAAAAAACCAGGCATCTACGAAAGACGGCTTTCTTACAAATACAATCACTATGTGTCTGTGTTTGGAGGCGGAGTCACCTGCGCACAACAGAAATCACCAGCTCCAAATGATGAAGGCTGGATCTTGAATGAGATTGTGGCTCTCCACGATGTTCCATTCGGAGACCATTTTCGCGTAAGTCTTCTTCTACCTCAGCTTTTATATATACAGTCCAATATTGAAACAATTAACTTTCGCTAAACGATAATGACGATAATGTAGGTTCATATAAGGTATGAGGTGAAGAAAGCAGGAGTTGATTGTAAAACAAGCAAGTGTGAAGTATATCTGAAGATCAGGTGGCTCAAAACAATAAAGTTTGAGCAAAGAATTAGCAAAAGTATAATGGAGAAATTCAGGAATCGATTCAAAGTTATATTTGATTTGTTCCAGAAAGAATCTGTTACAAATTCATCTTTGACACTTCTCTGACTAATAAAACTATACTTGTTTTTTAGATCTCTTCTCATTAGTCAAAATTAAAAACTTCACTTACTCCAATCATGTGGCTTGCACGTGATTCACTTGCCAACATATGGGAGGGAATAACAATGTCCCCAAAATTAGTGCTTCACTACACAATTAGCACTAATTTTATTTACTTCTGAAAAACTGTTATGTTCAAATAGCTTCAGTGAAATCAAATGATTGTCACATTCAACAAAATCTTACCCCATAGTCGCTACTTTTTTCAGTAAATTGTAAGATAAAATTTTAAATAACATTACCTTTATTAGATTCGATCATTGAAGCAATAATACAATAATACAAGCAATAATTTTAAATAACATTACCTTTATTAGATTCGATCATTAGGAGGGGTTATTGGTTCATGGATTTATAAAGAATTAGAAATCCAAACAAAAATCATTTGTTATTTAATCATTGATTTTAAAATCCTAATTAAAATCATGTGTTATTGGTTCTATGATTTATAAATACTAGTTAAAATCCTATGTTATTCGTTTAGTCATTTGTTTTTGGATTTGAGAATCCAAATTATGTTTTAAATGGATTTGTATGGAATTGAAAGAGAAAAATAGAAGGATTCAAATCCACGGGTAAACACATGTTATTTCAAAATCCATATATCTTGATTTCATAATTAATAGAGATTTCCAAATTCTATATGGATTTACAAATTAATAAACCAATAGCTAGTAAAAATTTAAATATTTGAAAATAGTAAGTAATTATGTCCGATTTATACATGTGTGTCTCTATCTATTCAGCTACTAGCGACCAACCAAAGCAGCTACAAAATCGGTTAACTAAGTGAAAACAGCTACATTAGGAGTAAATTGCTGTACTAAACAAAAATTATTGAAATAACCGTCGGCTCAATTAATGTGTAGTCAATTATTGTTGGTAGATACAAAAGTTGGCACAAATTTGAAATTAACTAACGTGATGTTATGGAATTTTAGGATAGCAAATAGAATCTTATGTTATATTTATACTGAAAAGATTATACCTACCAAATAGTATAGCATTCGATAATTGTATTGATATAATTGACAGATAATAACATGTTATTCTTATATTATAGTATAATAGTATTTTTGAAAGTTAAGTAAAAATATAAATATACATACACTATCATAAAAAGTGAAGGTGTTTTAGCAAAAAATATATATTTATATTTGTGTTTTCAAATATAAAATTGAATAGAGTTCTATATTTAAAAATACTATAACATTATGGATGTCATATGTTATTCTTCATTTTTCTTTATAAGAATTTTCTCTAAAATAACGTTCTCTACCCGTTCTTGCAAAGTCATGTCACAAATCCTCATTTGTCTACCCCTAATTAAGAAAGATTCATGAATTTTCCACATCTCTTGGAAATTTGGGTAACTCCGGTTCAAGATATCTCGATTATCCAAAAAAAAAATAATAGAAAACTATTTCTCTCATTAATTTACATTTTTGTCTAATTAATTGAGTTTGTCATCAAATTGAATGTTGCTAGGCTCGTTTTTAACATAATCTTAGATTAATCTTATAGCCAATCTTAGACCTCGAGTTACTACCTCAGCAACACACCCCAAAAACTGACTCAGCAACCGAACATTACATACACTGCTCCTAAGTTTTTGCCCCGAGATGAGGAATCCTTACTTCCACAATTCCCATGCTTCTGTCTGTTCATTGTCTTCATCCATCATTTTCATTTCTTTAATACTACAAAATAGACACCAAATGCCTTTAAGTGTCTCTTACTTCAAACCACTTTCATGAATCATTTCATAACACAACTCATAAAACTCAACCTCCCCCATGTGCCTTCACATGCATTCCAATGAAAACACCACTCAATTAAATTTAATCTCCTATTAAATTCCATTTAAGCATTGTTGTTAACTTCAAAATTTTAAACAACTACTTTTGACTTCATATTCACAAAGCTATGGATCTTTGCAAAAGTAGAGCAACAACCACCGTTACTCTCTCATGTCTCATCTTCTTTGTTTCTTCATTCTACACAATCTCCACCGCGAAATCCGTCACTAATCCGCTCTATCAACTCCTTCTGTTCACCGCCTTCTTTCTCGCTGCAGCCTTGTCTCTTCTTATACTGGTGGCCGCGGCACGAGCCACCATGGTTGCGTGGATAACTGTCCTCGTCTTACTGGCCTTTTCGGGTACACGTCGTCGTGTTTTAGCGCGGAGAGGGAAGACAATCACGGCGGATGTGGCGATGTGCTTGTTTAGAGAGGCATATCCTCGCGGTTAGTCTCATGATGGTTTGTTGTTAGAGAGTATTTTCATATCACTTTTGTATATAACAAAAATATATGTCTTTTTGTGAATGATTTTCCCCTTTTTGTATTTATTTATACTGATTCGAATTTTAAATTTAATATATATGCTTTAAATGTTTATTCAATATTTCTATAGTTACGAACCAAAATATTTTCTTAATGAAAATATTTAATCTTTTTAATACGAACAAAACTTATTTTATATCATAATCGGACTAAATTTTGATCTTAAAAATGACTAAAAGAGTAAAAGGAAATAAAAACAAAAATGATCTCAATTTTTCGCCACTGCATATTTCACTATAAATAAATCAAAAGTTTTACAGTTTTCTTCTCTTCTTCTACTATAAAATAATTTTAGCTTTCTAAAATAAAACAAGGAAGAAAACCAAGTAAATGTCTAAAATATACTTCCAAAATATCCTTAATTATAATTTTCTTAAAGGTTGTTCGTTGTTGTAAGATCTCAGATCCATTTAGATGACGTCACATACAATTTTTTTTTTTTTTTTTTTTTTTTTTTTTTTGGTTAAAGGTGAAAATTTATACCATTTTTAGTTTTTTTACAGAATACAGAGATTCAACAAAGAAAATTGAAGACCAAAAACTACTACAAACAACAATACAAAAGAAGGCCACAAAACAAGAGTGAAACAACAGAAGGATCACACGTTGGAGGAAGATGACTCCAAAAGTCAACGGTTTTGCCGCGAGAACACCGCACCCGAGATAAGCCCTCAATTCCTCTGGCGATACGGGCTTACAGCTTTTCCGAGAGCAAAAAGGGTCAGTCAGCTGCAAGGATCAGTCCAAAAGGAAGAATCACAAAGCAGTTGTCACCTCCTCAGAGACAATCACGACCTAGTTAAATCAAACCGGCAGCCAAGGACAACCCGAGCTGCGGAGTAGAACCACGAGTGATGGAAAACCAGCTTCGCTACAGCAAATGCGCAGAGTAATTCCGAGCCACATCAGACCCGCCACAACAATTATTGCCGCAGCTTCGCTGGAAAAGCAAGAAATCATCGCCATGAGTCTCAGAACGAAGAACAAGTCCTAGCCACATCGGACCCGCCGCAACTGGGATCGTCGCAGCTTCGCCGGAAAAGCAAGAAACTACCAGCCACAAGACCAGCCGGTGAGGTTAGCCACCAAGTGAAAGAACACACCCGCAACGAGCGAAGGAGAAAACAAACACCGAGACTGAAACAAAACCACCTCAGACGGAGGCATGGTAACGGGAACAGCGATTGCAAGGTCATGGAGGGGAGATGAAAATGAGTTCACCAACGCAGGCGGATCCCTGAACTCCACCAGCCACCATCCGAGGAGATCTACCACCGAGCAACCGTCGGAGAGATCTATCCGCCACAAGAACCAAACACGAGCGGCATACCCGACGAAAACAGAACCACCGAGGAGAGCCTTTTCTCATACCCAATCGCCGTCCTCAAACAATTGAGGTTAAGAGAGGCAGCCGAGAAGGTGGAAACGCCGGGAGGAAAGCCTAAGCAGTCCGCCGCTGAATTGGCCTCAGAACGAGCCACCGAACCAAAAGCATTACACCAGATCCGCCGCCATAGCCCAGGGAAAAGTCGTCGGAGAAGGAGTAAGCCGAGACAGAGAAACTGAAGAGCCCTCTCACGGCACCGGCGAGGAGCACCGGTGACCGGAGAGGCAAACGCGGCGGAGTGGGATTAGGGTTTGACGGCTACGGGTTTGAGAGAGTTTTACTCGGGCGCGTGTTCAGCACACGCGGGGCTCCTAGAATAATAGGGCCCATATTAAAAAAAAAAAAAAGTCACATACAATTTGCTACATCTTGTCACTCATTTAAACATACAATACGTTCTGCTACGTTGCGGTCTTTCACTAGACTCGTGAGATGTTTTAGAACAAGTATGTCAGCCCAATAACAAGAGGTTGTATATTTTTTTTTTTTTTTTTTGATAACTTAGGTGATCCTAAAGGCTTCCTAGACCCAAAGACTAAATAGAGGTTCTATATTCTTTTACAAAAATCTAAGAATGATTTTGTTATCTTGAGATTTCTTATGGCTTTTGTTTATGATTTGTATCATTTATTTATCTCTCGTTTTAACCATCGTTTGATATTCGTTTCCGCAGTTGTAACGTTCCCTTCGTGAACTGTTGCATTCCCACTTATTTTCTTATAGAGTTTAGGCTTTTTTTAGTTACTGAAATTATCAATTTCTTCTTTTGTCATCTGTTTTTATTGATTTTGCAAAAGTGAAATACAAGTTGAGATACTTGACTTGCAAGGGTTGAAATCTAAGAATAGAAAGAACAATCCCACAGCAAATAAAGGAAACATAGTTGAGAAAAAAAAAAAACGATGCATGTTACATCGATCTTCATGAAGATGAAAATCCAAACAATGTAGATGATGATGCCTCTTATCTCACGTCATGGATTGATGCTGCAGTTAAGCGTAAGGTACAACATCTTCATGTTTCATGTCTGGTATCCTTAATTCTCGTTGATGTGACCATGGATGATGCGGAGTTAGTTTCTTTACCTTGTCTGAAGATTATGCATTTGAAACGTCAAACGTATATGGTCTCTCAATGAGGCCACCTTTTCAAGACTTGTCTCTTCCTGTCCTCTATTGGAAGAGTTAAAGATTGTTGGATGTGGGAATCTTCCTCAAGTCATTCGGCTCCATTCTTTGTCACTGAAGAAACTCGAAATAAACCTACGCAATTCTATGGGTTGTACAAGTACTTATACCATAAATATGGAGTTGTGATTGATGGTCCTCTTCTACGCGATTTTGACTATTGATGATGACCGAGCTGTAAGTGATATAGTAAACAACTTGAGTTCCAATGCCAAGTTAGTTGTTTATCTCGCCTTTGGTTTGGATGATTTTGATGAAGCAACTGTTTCATCGAGGAGAAGTAGCATCCGCGATTTTCTGCTCGGGATTTCAAATGTCGGGAAATGATCATATATCGAAACACTTTTAAAGGTATATATATGTCATATATGTCAATTACAATATAAGACATGTAGATTCTCTATCATGATTCATGAAAGTTTCTGACCCACATTATTTTTCTTTTTGGTTCCAGATCATCTATCAATACTCGAAACTAGACCCGCTTCCTTGGTTTGGTTACATGTCCTGTCCCACATGTACGCTGATATTTATGTACCTGACTGGAAATGCTTAATAACCTTTCTTGGGAGTTTCCCAAACTTGAAATCACTCATCTTGGTAATGATCTGCTAAACTCTATGAGGTTTCTTATCTCTCCATGCCTATCTTTTCATTGCTTTTTCTCCTCTGTTTTGTTTACCTCAGGTATGGGATTTCGACTTTAAGAAGATGCATTCCTAGGAGAAAATGAATCAAATCAGAATTTCGTTTGTTCCCGAGTGTTTGCTATCTTCGCTTAAGTCTGTTGAGATCAAAACCAGCATCTGGGGTTACGCTGCAGAAATGAAGCTAGTAAAGTACTTCCTAGAGAATTCTGTAATCCTCAAGAAACTGACTCTACATTTGAATTTTTGTGCAAATGTAAATGGCATCTTCAAGAAGCTCATGAAAATTCGCTCCATCACATGTCAAGTCGTGGTACAATGATATGTTAAAGACTAGAGAGGAAGAGAGCAAGTGGAGATTAAGCTCTTGACACACAAGAAATGCAAGAACAATGGAGGCACTATAGGTGTATAGTACTAATGAAGCTCTTTGCTTTTGACCACAAAGCGACCTACTTGGTTCATGTTACATAATCACATTTGCTTCCAAATGTTACATATAAATATAATCATTAAGCATAAAAATCCCCTATTTATAGCCAATATTTGCTTCTGAATATTACCCAAATTAAACCTAAAACTAAGAAGAACGTTTTGGGAAACAAAAGCAAGAATTTTGAACCATGTGATATGTTTCACCAATCAATCAAATAAAACTTCTTCTTGTTTATCTTTTCATTATCATATCATTACCACTCCATACTCATAACTCTGTCTCTGTCTCTGTCTCTCTCTTTCTCTCTCCACATCAAGAAGAAGTCTCTGCTACTTCCACCATCAAAGATAAAACTAAACAAACCTCCAAAACTCAACAAGTGAATCCCTCAAGCTTCTTATTACAAAACCCAAAAACTCACACAGATCCACTTCTTGTTCTGCTTCTTCTCTCTTTGTTTTGTCAAGATTCTTCTCTTATCCATTTCTATTATATATTTTACTTATATTTTAGTTGGGGGAGAGCTTGCCTGGTGTCGCCTTCTTCTCTCTTTAAGACTTGTGCTTAATTTACGGACATGTGAGGATACTTCGCTTTTGCCTCATCAAAGGGCATGTTATCTCTTCTCTTCTTTGTCTTGTGAGCTCTCTCAAATCTTCAGATATACAAATCAAGAAATTGATAAACCAGATAAAGGACAAGTCTTTTTGGTATCTCAAGATCGGGAAAAAATGTGGTTGCAAGGTTTGAAGTAATCTTGGTGTTTTGTTGTGAATTCTTGCAATGGATTCTTTGACTGGATATAGAATGGAACCCAAATGGCGAATTGATCCTCAGCTTCTCTTTGTTGGGCCAAAGATTGGTGAAGGAGCTCATGCCAAAGTCTATGAGGGAAAGTAAGCTCCTTTCTTCTTCTTCTTTAACTTTCTGGATTTGGTTTAAATTCATTCTTAGCTTTGAGATTGTTTGGAAAGTTTGGATTTTGATTTGTGGGTTAGTGAAGTTTAGTGGTTGTTGTATAAGGGTGTGAACAAAATGCTTGTTTGGTAAACTCATCTATCTGGATTATGGAAATTGGGTATTCAAAAGTTGGGGTTTTTAATGGATCTCTACTGTTTTTGGTTGGTATGATCTGAGACAGATACAAGAATCAGACAGTTGCTATAAAGATAGTTCACAGAGGAGAAACACCAGAAGAGATTGCTAAAAGAGATTCAAGATTCCTAAGAGAAGTAGAAATGCTCTCACGTGTTCAACACAAGAATTTGGTCAAGGTTCTGTTTTTTGAGATCTATGGCTGTTTTTGTTTCCTTGCTTTACGTTTTTTTCAGTTCTTGATTGTCTTTTGTCTCTGAAACAGTTCATTGGTGCTTGCAAGGAGCCTGTAATGGTGATAGTTACGGAACTTCTTCAAGGCGGTACATTGCGTAAATATCTGTTAAACTTGAGACCCGCATGTTTGGAGACCCGTGTGGCTATCGGTTTTGCGCTTGATATTGCTCGTGGTATGGAATGCTTGCATTCCCATGGGATCATTCACCGTGATCTCAAACCCGGTAAAACTACAATTCGTTAACTCTTTAAAACCGAAATGTTTCATTTAATGATCTGCTTAAAATATTTGCAAAACACCTTGCTTCATGGAAACCACATGCTCAGATCTCAATCACAAAGAATCTTTCTTTCTTTTTTATTGTCTGACACCACACACGCTTCAAGTTCTTTTAATATTTGGTTATGACTTAGATTTAATCTTAAGTGTTGAAGATGGTGTTAAAGGATCTTTTGTTCTGTTTTGCAGAGAACTTGCTTTTAACTGCAGACCACAAAACAGTAAAACTAGCAGACTTTGGATTAGCAAGAGAAGAGTCACTGACTGAGATGATGACGGCTGAGACAGGAACATACCGATGGATGGCACCAGAGGTTCCTTACTATAGACAGATCTTTTAATTTCTTGTGCTTCTCTTTGACTACTTAAAGAAAATCTTGGTGGGATATTTCAGTTGTACAGCACGGTTACTCTTCGATTGGGAGAGAAGAAGCATTACAACCATAAAGTCGACGCCTATAGCTTTGCAATCGTTCTTTGGGAGCTTTTACACAATAAATTGCCTTTTGAGGGAATGTCTAATCTCCAAGCAGCATATGCAGCTGCCTTCAAAGTGTGTAACACTGTCTTCTTTTGCTTCTTTTGAATTTGATTTAAGCTAAGCAGTACCCTCGTTTTTTGACATGTTCCTTATACAGAATGTGAGACCAAGCGCGGAGAGCTTACCCGAAGAGTTGGGCGACATTGTAACATCATGTTGGAATGAGGATCCTAATGCTCGGCCAAACTTCACACATATCATTGAGTTACTACTTAACTATCTCTCCAAGGTTGGATCTCCGATATCCGCTATTCCACAACGGATTCTTGCTTCAAAGAACACACTATTGCCACCGGATTCTCCCGGAACTAGCTCTTTGATGGCTAAACTTGATGAATGTGGGGAAACTCCAAAGGCCAAAAGTGAAGACAAACGAAAAGGTTTGTTTTTCTGCTTCAATCAATGTTATTAACCTTCAATCACAGAGTGGTTTAGGACCAGAGATTTGGTAGACATCACTCAAATTATTGATGTAATAATATCCTCCCTACCATATGAATTTAGCAAGAAGTTCATTTATATAAATAAATAGTTATGTAATTGTAATGAATTTAAAAGTAGACGTAAAGAAAAAGTTTCCTAAAGAGGCTCATGTTCCCTAAATAAGAAAGTTTTAGTTGTGTAAAATTTACCCTTTTGTATTTTTCTATCTCTTCTATTATCAAGACTCGAGAAAAATATGAGTCAGCTTTTCATTTTCAACTTTTTTCTCGTTTTGATTGTTTTTTCGATCAATTAGTATCACAAGATGTCGAACTTTTGAAAACCAAAGTTTGATATCTCAAATGCTACGAAACAAGTGAAGGTTATGTGGCTTAGCCAAAGCATGTGTCAGCGTACATGATAGTAAATATTCCTAGATTCCCACTAAAATCACATAGACCACAATAATACAATTATGTCAACAGGTTTTTGTTGCGTAAGAGATTGACATTCGTTGGCATGCTCACATAGAATCTGCAGTGCTTTCTTTCCCTCAGACACTTGGTTATCACCAGATGCGAGAGAAGTTTTCAGGCCCTAATTTATTAAGGAAATCTATGAACAGTGAGTTTGCAAGCTAACTATGGTTCGGATTCAGACAGAGGTTTACCTCCACATCACCCATTGATTTCATTGGTTTACTTAGTTTTTTCAACAAATCTTTGTCATTCCAGTACCTAATACCGGAAACAAATTCCTTCACCATATACAAAAATAAACCCAAATAGTTTTCTGACAAATGACACAATATGTACTTGAGCATAGCAACATGATCAGAAGTTTTGATCTCAACTAATATAGATTCCAACTCTGCATCTTTTTCCACCTGCCTGGAGAATCTAAAGCATCATGTGTAATCTTCGAATCAACTGTGGAAGGATGGTTCAAGAACTGACTAAATCAATCGCCTTAAAATTGAGATAAACAACAATCAGATAGAGGAAGAGTTTGATCTGAACTTGAAACCATTGGATGAACAAAAATCGTAAAAAACCAAACACATGAAATAGAGAAGATTATTGGAATGAAATCATGATCCAAGAAATCCAACAACACAATTATTATTATTTTTTATCTTTATCTTTCACCAAGAAATCAAACTATTTATCTTTCATTTTCAAGAGAATGCAAATCAATTATTATTTTTATTTTTTGACATTGAATGCAAATCAATTATTCTTTTTATTTTTTTGACATTGAATGCAAATCAACTATAAAAATCAAAATAATAAATAATAGAAATTTTGATACATATTTTCTAAAACTATTTTCAGTCACATATATTAAAAAATCTAAAATTATCAAGGTGCACTTGAATTACTCGTCCCTAGAATTTCAGTTTAATATATTATTTATCAATGTTTTACAACTTGACGGTGATGATGACGGGTTATATTGCACAGTTTTTTTTGAATTCGCGAAATGGACCTGTATTTTTCGTGATGAAGGATAATTAAAAAATGGCGATTTGTTATGTAGAAAAAAACCTAATCAGAAAGATGTCTTAATTAGATTTATTATTACATAATTGATGCAAAAAAAACTTAGACAAAAGAGTAATCGATTAAATCATATCTAACTTGATCCAAATAAAAATTTAATTCTAGGAATCATATTATTCATCTAAACTAAAACTATCTTCAATGCATTCATCTATTTTTTTTTAATTCTAAAGTAAATTATTGTTAAATAGAGTAGGATTTCTCTCATATACACAGATTGATAGAACACAAAAGAGCATTACTATTCAAAATTACACGGGAGAGGGAGAGATTAACATGAAATGAGAACCGATTATTACCTTTTTCTAAAATAGTATTATTTTATATATATATATATATATTTAATTATGAGAGATTCCATAAGAGATTTTTATTGCACATGCTCTAAAAACTTTTTCTATAGTTGTAGCAATACAAATTTTTACAAAGACAAAAGAGAACAACCTTTCCTTGATGTTTATGTGGCTCAAAATCTTCTATCGGCGAAGAAATCGTGGAAATTAACAAATCCATATGTGTCTTGTACATGTACTGTTCCACCATATAGCTACATAATAAAACAATCAAATCAGCACAAACGGAAAAAAAAAATTGTTTGAATGAAAATCTATAGTAACCCACACTTACGTCCATGCGTAATAACCAGCTGAGCTCCATGCGTAAAAAAGTGTTGGTTAGTGCCGCAAAGGTTTGGGTGAATTGTCAAACATGGATTCTAATAGACAGCCAACCTTGTAGCCCACAGTCTGAATGGCAGTCGTAGCCTTATGAAGAGTGGTTGTAATCACCACACTAGTCACACCGGAATTCCAGCCACCACAAAATAGGTTCAATATAATCTAAGGAATGTTGTTACAAACCGTTGTAGTTTGGTTAAGGTTTAGAAAATAGTCGTCTCTTCCCTTCAGACCCAGACCCTAACCCTGACCAAGACCCAGACCAGATCCTAAACCTGAGCCCGACCTAGACCAGATCCTAAACCTGAGCCCGACCCAGACCTTGAGCCAAAGCCACCAGAGCCAGAGTTTGAGGAGCCTGAGTCTCTGTGAGGGTGCAACATTTGCAAAAATTTCAAGGCATTAGAAGTTTATTTCATACACAATCTACTATATAAGATCAATATCTAGGCTTGACAAAAAAAGTAGAACAATAGAAACTTGCCTTAGGGGAAGAACCAGAGTTAGCTATTATTGTGTTGGGTTATTTGGTAAATGGGCTCGACCAATGGGCCTTTTTGGAAGATGGTAGGCTGGTTTTCAGATATTGGGTTATTTGAGAGCTAGGCTTGGCTAGTGGGCTATCGGAAAGTGGAGAGGGAATTCGAGTTCAATGAAGGCGGGCTGTGAGAGGCGATGGAGGAAGAATTTGACAGAGATATGATTAGTACTACATAATCGGTATACAAATATCAAATTTTTGCTAATGTCTGGCGCGTAAAACACTTTGTTAAATGCTAGATTACAAGAATCAAACGGTAAGAGAGTGGAACCCGTATGCGAAATGGTTAGAGAATCATCTCCACTATTGTATGGTTGGTGAAGTGAGAGGTTGATGTGGTTATTGGTGATATGATGTGTTGCTCCACTGTCTAGGAACCAGTTTTTTGCATTATATTAAGATGCAACAACAATGTCAGCAGCTGCTCGCATTGTGCCAATGAACACTAAAACTTTGGTAATGACCAAAGTAGATATGTGACTGTCTATTGTTTAAGTGGTTAGGCTGATTGGACGAGTTGGTTTGCCAACATTGATTATTGCGGATATGTGGTTTTCGTTGCTGACGATTGTTGTTGTTGTGTGAATGTGATTGATGGTAGGTAACATTTGTGGAGATTGAAAGTTGTGGTGATGGCATGGAGGTGAACAGTTTCACCTCGTGATTGATTAGTAACAGCGGATATAATTGGAAAATGTAGAGTATCTTGTAGGTGACGTAACCATGAAATATAGAATTGTTTGGAATCTGAAACTGAATTATTCAGTTGATAAATAATAAATCAAAATACTCATATCTCATCCTTTGGCATGTTTAGGAAACACAATCTTCCCAAGAGTATCTTAAAAGTAAGCTTAATAATAATCATACGCCTTCATTATTACCCAAGAGTATGAGCCGTAAACGATTCAATTGATTAGGTAGCCAAAAGCAAGTTCTCTCTTATACAGGAGAAGACAAAGCTCTTTGGTGTTTAATTAACTTTTTTGATTAAAGATCATAGTAGTAGAAACATACCTTGAGTTATAATAAAAAAAAAATTCCAATGAATGTTAATTTGTTCCCCGAATCTGGACAGAAAAACCGTACCCGCTGCTGAATGCTCCCTGCGAAACTCTTCTTATTTCGTCCTCCAAAAAACTTTTGTCGAGTTAACCAACTTCTCGAAGCCATGTCTTACATTTTCAGTATATGCCTCTAAGGCAACTTGTACTTTCTCAAAGTGTGGTTTCCCTTTGGTCATAACTCGGCTTACCTAGAAAAATGGTCACAATGTTTTACGTAATATCAAAAGAGAAGCAGACAGAATGAATAAAGATGGAAACATATTAACCTCAAGATAGTAGTATGAAACGTCAAATGCTTGAATGAGATGTGGGGTCAATGCCTCCTTACACTGTTACACGTATGTAACACCTCCATGGACTTATCGGTTAAATATTGAACTTTTGGTTCGAGATAAATGGATGTCACATACGCATCTTTGATGCTTGGAATCCATTTCTGTGAAATCTAAGGAATCTTCAAAGCTTAATAAGAATAAATTAGCACGAATGACTTCTCTTATAACGGAAACCGAATACTTTGACAGTAAATTTTGAATCCAAGACAACCCTTACCTTTTGAAGAGTTTGGCTAAGATCTTGATGTCACAGAGTCATTATATATGCCTGACCCCATTAAAAAAAAAAAGAGAGGGTCTTTTAAGGTTTAGATTTTATCGATGTTATGCACCTTTTTATAGAATTACCTGAGTTTTATTTAGCAAGAATAAATAAATAGTTATGTAATAGTAATAATATCCTCCCTACCATATGAATTTAGCAAGAAGGTCATTTATATAAATAAATAGTTATGTAATTGTAATGAATTTATAAGTAGACGTAAAGAAAAAGTTTCCTAAAGAGGCTCATGTCACTACAAGAAAATATAGTCTTTTCCTACCAAATTCCCTACCAAATATTTGGTAGGAATAATTTCCTACCAAATTCCTACGCATTTGTTACGAAATATATATTTCGTAGGAAATTCGAATGAAATTTCCTACGACAAAAGTCGTAAGAAGTTCGTAGGAAATTTCCTACGAAAATCCTACGAAAAAAAATGTCGTAGGAAATTTTGTAAGAAAATGGAAGGAAAGCCATAGGAAACAATTGGTAGGAAATTCGAAGGTATATTTCTTTCCAATTTCCTACGAACAGATCTTCGTAAGAAATCGCGTAGGAAATGCGAAGGAAAGTTATGGGGAAATAATTGTATAGTTTTGAATAATTCAAATTTTCATAGCTTAAGTTATTTATTATAAAATAAAAATAAAGATACATATAGCAACCTCTAATTCTTCTAAAATTTGTAATTATTTTTAATTAAAACTATTAAGATTTATTAGAAACATATATACACCAAAATTGGGTTGTAGACAAAATTAGAGCTTCTGCAAGTCTTATGCAAGTCTTAGCTTAGGAGCTTAAGTTAAAAATCAAAAAAATTAAATCAGAAATCAAGAAATTAGTAGGAACCAAGTCTTAATAGTTAATTAGGATTTATTTGTTCTGCTAAGACTTGATAACGTGTCAGCTACTGGTTGGGTGTGAGGAAGTAAGACCAAACAAAAAAACAATTCATCCCGTGTTTTTATTTTTGTCCCATGTCTCTCTTTCTCTTGCTCGTGTATCGCATAAGGCGAAATCAGAGAACTCTCGCTCGATCCGTTTGATTTAAGAGGAGAAATGCGAAATCGTCTTTGATCCACCGTGATCATCATCTCCACCGGCGCTGGTCACCATCTGCGAATTCGTTTCATCAAATCGGAGAAGTCATTATATTTATACCAAATCGGAGAGTTTGATTAACCAAATCGGAGAATTTGGTTTGACGATGCTACAATCTCTTTCGCATGGTACGATTCTATCTGTTTTCGTTTGTGAATCTATATGAATTAGGTTTTTTGAGGTTAGAAAAATAGGGTTCTCCGAATTGGGATTTGATGTTAGAAAAGTTACGGTTCTTTGATTCGAGCTGGTAATGATTGATCACTTTATTCTGCTCTGATTTAGGAAAGGCTTGGAATTTCAATTGATGTGATGAATAAAAAACTTGTTATGTTGTTTTTTAGACTCAGATTAAGACGAACAATGATACATCAGCGTTTGAAGCTAGGAATGGAAAAGATATTCAAGGGATTCCTTGGGAGAGCATGAATTACACGAGATTTAGATACCGTGAGAACAGATTGCTACACTATAAAACTTCGAGAGTCTCTTTCGATCCAGAGAAGAGCTTGATAAGGTTTTTCTAAGCCAATCAAAGTTTCTAGCTTTTTGATGATGGATGATTTGAAATCTTGAGTTTTGGTGTGCATCTTTCTTATGATTTCTTGTATTTGTTCTTGTCAGGATTGCTTGCAAGTAGAGAAAGGAAAAAACTTTTATGACTTTCAGTTCAACACAAGGCTTGTCAAGTCCACAATTGCACATTTTCAGGTAGACTACTTTGCTTAGTTATGTTTTGTAATGTGTTTCATACTCTGTTACTTGATGTCTAGAAGATGAATGACAGTTCAAAACTTATCTTAAAGATGTGTTGTTTATTGATAGAAGGACTAATGGGTTTATATAAAGAAACATTGCAGAATTTGGTTTAAGGTGATGAAAAAGGGATGGAGTTGTTGCTGTTGTTGTTGATTTGCTTTTGTTGAGTTAGAGATTCAACTAAACCTCTGTTTTCTTATTTGAATTAGCTAATGATTTGCTACTTATTAATTATTCTCTTTATATGGTAGAACTTAAGAACCAACTTCTGCTTCTACGAATGCATACAAAGATGGATTTTGTTTGATAAGTCTTATACTATAATGAGATAACAGAACCAATACAAGAAGAGTCAATAAACTATTTGTTTCAAAGAATGTCTCATGCACCTTGTTGATCGTGTAGTAACCACATTTTCTTTTCAAGCCACTTTCAAACATAATCTAATGTTGTCATTTCATGTATCTTCAATCTAGTGTTGTCATTTAATGTATCTTCCGAATAGGTACTTCACATGGACACTAACTGTTCTCTCTCAATGTGGTGGACCAGTTTATGATGGCAAATGGAAAGCTTGTTCGTGTCCTTATTCATACAGATATGACTAAGTACTTGTCTTTTAAAGCTGTTGATGGAAGCTATGTTTTTGTCAAAGGCAAGGTACAGTGAGAACTCATTTTCATTTTATCTTGTCACTCATTCTCTTATGTTTTTTTCATAGATTTTAAGTCTGTTTGTGCATCTTTTTTTCTCCCATGTTTTCTGTTGGTCAAAAGCTTTTCACTGATCATTCTAGCTGCAGGTCCTTGCAGTTTAGGTAATATTTTCCTAGTTATATTAACTGTTTATATCCTACAGGTCCAAAAGGATCTGCTTGTTTAAAGAGGCTAAGGATGGGTTATAATTTCTGAAACGTAAAAGGCTTCAAAAGATAAGATCAGACTCTGTCAATGAAACAGTAGGCTTCAGCACAGTACCTAGAAGTGGTGGTTAATCCGACAATCCAGAATGAGACGACGAACACGAGCGTAGACGATGACGACGAGACTCAAGAGTAGATCGATTTAGTGTTTAAATCTTTATATTAGAATGAATTGTACAATGAATTTTAATTTGTATGGAGTTTAATTTTAAATTTAATTTTAAGTTTCTTTTGAATTTTAAATTTAATTTATTCAAAAAAAACCAAAATTTGTAACAAATAAATATAAATAATTTTATTAAAATTTGTCTCTGAAATTTCGAAGGATAATGGTAGGAATTTGGTAGGAGGCGTATCGTAGGAAACTGGTAAGATAATTTTGGTAGGTAATTAGTGAGAAATATTTCGTAGAAAAGTTGAAGGACAAAATTTCCTACGAAAATTTGGTAGGATAATGGTGAAAAGGGCCCTACCAATTTCCTACGAAATTTCCTACGCGATTTCCTACGAACAAGTTTCGTAGGAAATTTCCATCGAATTTCCTACCAAATTCTATTTCCTACGGGCGATTCCCTACAAATATTTTTCGTAGGAAATTGGTAGGAAACGTCTATTTCCTACCAATCTCCTACGATTTTGACCGTAGGAAAACGCTGATCACCTGAATTATCAAAAAAAATATATATATATATATTGTTTTGTTGCAAACTTACATCGCTTTGCCCATGTGATGGTGGGCGAGTGGTTGGTGGGCCAGGGGTGTTTGGGTGAAAGTCCCTCCCCTCCGGTTTCGATTCCTCCTCTTGCTGTTATCAACATTATGTGGGAAGTCTGTCAGTTGGGCTTTGCCCCAATTGATTTACCTGGTAGTCAGAAATGCAGGCGGCCTGACTACCCCCTGGCACTTAGTCGGAAGGCATTCCAAACTCGGGATAGGCAGAGTGGTAGCCCGAAGGGCCTAGCCGTTAACACGGTGGACAAGTCCACTATGTAGCACCTCGGTGTGTTCCTACCGGGGCCGACCGGATAGCCGATAGGGTTTATCAAAAAAAAAAAAAAAAAAAAAAAAAAAAAAACTTACATCGCTCTTTCCTCCCCCAATGCTATGGTGTTTCTTTTTTCTCCCCTGTTTTTGTCAGCCGCATTGGCCTTTCTTTTCTGAGCATCCATAAGGGCTTTAATGCATTTCGTCTAGAAAAAAAAAGGCAACCAGAGTATTAAGCTTTCTATAAACCACATGCAAGGGAAAATCGATTGATGGTAATTGTCAACTTTCCTTCTTTATCATAACTATCTGCTATTATAGATAAATTGTGTAACAAACTTGTAAAGTGAAGCCGAAGCTGCTAATCCACAAGTACATGATACTAAATATTCCTAGCTTCCCACTAAAATCAGATAGACCACAATCATACAACTCTGTCAATAGGTTTTTGTTGCTAAGAGATTGACATACCTGGGCATGCTGACACACAATCTCCAGTGCTTTCCATCCCTGGGAGACTTGTTCATCTTCGTTATCATCACGAGATACTAGAGAAGTTGTCAGACCCTGATTGGTTAAGGAAGGACAGTGAGTTTGCAAGCTAACTAAGGATCCGATTCAGAAAGAGTATGAAGCAATTTACCTCCATTGATTTCATTAGTTTACTTAGCTTTCTCAACACATCTTTGTCATTCCAGTACCTAATACCATAAACAAATTTCTTCACCACACACCGAAATAGACCGAAATAGTTTTCTAATTAATGATACAGTACGTACTTGAGCAAAGCAACAGGACCAGAAGCTTTGATCTCAGCTAATACAGATTTCACCTCTGGATTTTTTTTTCACTAGCACCATAAGCTCAACATATTTCTCTGACGCTTGAGGGTTCCCAAGAGTCTCTAGAGACCACTGCGGATCCTGAGACAGAAAAAACAAAAAACAAATCTGAGATTCAATGTCAGGATTAGCCCTGGAATGTCGATTAAGAGCTTCTATTACTGTTACCTCGCATTCCAATATTTTCTTAACCTCAGGTTTCCCCATAAACTGTTCTTCGTCAAACTCAGTGATATTCCCTGGGGTTGGAATACATCTCAGAAACTCTTTAGCTAACCGGATAAATCCAGGAACCGTATCAGTTTTCTCAGCCGATGATTCCTTGATGATAGAAAAGGGATTTACATCGACAACACTAGTCATGCCTGGAGAATCTAAAGCATCCGGTGTATCCTTCGAATCAACTGCAGATGCATGGTTCAAGAAAACCCCACCAGAACAGACTAAAATCGCCTTAAAATTGAGGTAAACAACAATAGGATATAAGTAAAGATCGAGTTTACACGATACCTGAACCTGAAAGGGGAAGAGTTTGCTCCGTCGGATGAAACTATTTGTGCATCACCGAGGTTAAAGATAATCATAAGTTATATATAATCATCTTAAAAAAGATAATCATCTAAAAACTAGGAGAAAATTCTTCGGTTGAGAATCATATATGGCGCTGGTGAGAGAGACCACCGAAAACAAACTTTATATAAATGAATATAGTACGATTCAAACGAATCAACATGACACGGGATGAAGATATCGGTGGAATGAATCTTCTGATTTTGAATCTGGTAACACCATCACCATCCAAAATAAGAAAAAAAATCCGAAAAAAATTGATCAAAGAGAGTGTTCCCATCACAATTACTAAAAACAGAAAGAAGAAAAAAAAACTAGAAAAAATGGGAAAGAAACCACCGGCAATTGCTGGCTGCCGTAAAAACCAAACAAGAAAAATAGTTACTCCCTCCGTATTTTAATAATTGTCGTTTTAGGATTTTATTTTTTTAAAAATTAGATGTCGTTTTCAAATTTTAATGCAAAATTTTTTACTTTTTAATGTTTTATGATGTCATAAAACATTAAAAAGTAATAAATTTTGCATAGAAATTTGAAAACGACATCCAATTCAAAAAAATAAAAATTCTAAAACGACAATTATTAAAATACGGAGGGAGTATTACTTTTTATAATGCTTCCTGCGAAATTACTTTACTTATTTCGTCCTCCCAAAGATTTTTGTCGAGTTAACCAACTTCTCGCAGCCATGTCTTACATTTTCAGTATATGCCTCTAAGGCAACTTGTACTTTCTCAAAGTGTGGTTTCCCTTTGGTCATAACTCGGCTTACCTAGAAAAACAAGACAATGGTTACAATGTTTTATGCAATGTCAAAAGAGAAGCAGAGGAATAAATAAAGATGGTAACATATTAACCTCAAGATAGTCGTATGAAACGTCGAATGCTTGGATGAGATGTGGTGTCAAAGCCTGCTTACATGTATGTAACACCTCGATTGACTTATCATTTAAATATTGAACTTTTGGTTCGAGATAAATGGTTAATGTCACATACGCATCTTTGATGCTTGGAATCCATTTCTGTGAAATCAAAGGGAAGAATGAGAATTACTTGTCTTACAAGTTACAACGGAAACCGGAAACTTTCAGAATAAATTTTGAATCCAATAAAGACAAACCTTTTGAAGAGTTTGGCTAAGATCTTGATGCCACAGAGTCATTATATATGCCTGCAACCATAAGGGTCTTTTAAGATTGATCACTAAGATTTTATCGATGTTATGCACCTTTTTATATAATTACCTGAGTTTTATTTAGGTTTAGACCAAGCTTAGACAAGAGCCACTTCCCATCAATCTGAAACACAAGTAAAAAATAGAAAGCACAGTAAGCTTTTGATTATGTACATCAAATCCAAAGGACGTACACCATGTTTCTTACATTTTCAAGCTTTGAGCTAAGTTCCGCAACTTTCCTATCTGCGATTTCAGCTCGAGCTTCCACCTCGAGACTTCTTTTGCGTTGCATTTCCACTTCTTGTCGTAGTTCAAATATCTGCCAATGCAGAATTGAAATTAAGATAACAAAACAAGAAGGAAATTCACAACTCAAACTACAAAACCAACCTGCTTCTGAAGTTCATAAGCGTTTCCTTCTGCTGCACTCGTGTGCTTCACTGGATTCTCAGTCTAAGAAAAAGCAACAAAAGTAAAATAACTTTCTTCTACATATTTTAAACAGAGAGAAATACAAATCTCACGTCAAGAGACAACCACATCAAGAGAAGAAACACAATGCAGCTTGAGTAATAGTATAGTCTTGTTAACTTTGGAAAGAAACAAAACGTTACAAAGTGATTTCTAGAAACAGAGAACAGAAGCTGAAAAGTCTCTCTTTTGCCAATTATATTAAACCCTAAAGGAAAAATCAATTTCAATCCGAATTTCTCAGAAACCAAACAAAGACACATAACTTCATATGAAATCCAATGAAACGTTACCTGAGGAAGCAGCTTCTTCGTTATCAGTGTATAATAACAGAGAAGAGGTACGAGTAAAAGAAACAAAAGTGACTTAGAAAACACCATTGTTGGAGACTGCAACAGAGGACTGGAAGATAGAGAGTCGCGAGAGATAGTGAGAAAGCGTATCAAGTCATATAGAGGGTCTTCATATCTTTTCTTTAACTACATATTTATTCATCTAGTTTTGTATATAAATGTAGTTGTAAATAAGTGAGTTGAGTTAATTATGCGGGCTGATTATAGAGTTTTTTAATTGAATTTACGATTGTTTTTTTTAATATAAATGCAATTGTATATTTAGGGGTGTTAACTTAAAACGGATTAACCCGTCTAATATAAATCCATGTATTAAACTTAAATATTTTGCATGTTTTGGTGGATCAACTTTTCGAATGATCATAGTCCTACTACATACATCAACCCTAGTTATACAATTTTACCATATGATATGATCCACGAGCTCTTAAAATTTATTTTTTAATATATAAAATTAAAATATTTCAAATAGTTTAAACTTTTTGATCAAGTTAAAAGTATTTAAAATAGTTTGACTTTGTGATCAACATAATTAAATATAATCAACATTTTCATTTTGTTAAGCCGGAAAATCACGTCTAATTAAATATAACAACTATGTTTCCGATATACACACCTATAATTCAAAATTTTGACTTGTAAGAAAAAGACGCAATTCTCAAAATACCATTAAAATTGGGGTTTTCCCAAAAATAAGACTAGTATTACATTTTTTCAAAATTAACACTAAGATTTTTTAGTTTTTAAAAAATACTACAAAAACTAAAACTAAACTTTAAACCTTTAAAACTAAATCCTAAACCCTAAAAGTTCAACCCTAAATCCTAAAACAAAACCCTGAACTCAAACCCAAATTTTTAAATTATAAATCCTTAAAAACCATTTTTAGTGTTTGTGGTATTTTTGGACTAAAAAGTTTGTAATTGTATTTTTGAAAGAAAAAAAATAGTGATAGTATTTATAGAATAAAAAATCAATTGATCGTATTTTAGGATATTTATGTAAACAAATTATTCACAAAAATGTTAGTATTAAAGCAAACTCCTATGCTCATTCCATACAATCTTTTTTGGAAAATTTATTTTCGATTAGTATATCTTCTAGATTGGATTCATAGAAAAAGCGGATACAATTAGAATATGTAGAGTATCTTGTAGGTGACGTAACCATGAAATATAGAATTGTTTGGAATCTGAAACTGAATTATTCAGTTGATAAATGATAAAACAAATACTCATATCTCATCCTTTGGCATGTTTAGGAGCCATCTCTCAGCTGGACGGAGACAACACAGACACTTGTGCCAGAGAGGGAACACAATCTTCCCAAGTCTTCGAAAGGGTAATCTCAGACCAAACCGTTGACTTTGTCCTTATTAATTGTTTATGCTAAACCACAAGATATTTGGATCCAAAGGATTACCATAAATCACTATATAAAGACATAAATGTGCACCCCACTTTTCTTATCAATCATAAAAGTCAGCAAAACACAAGGCATATTCCTCTTCTCTTCCTCAGCCTTATTTTCTTGATATTCAGATTCAAGAATATATCCATGGCGATCCACAAGATCCTATTTGCTTCACTTCTCATATTCTCACTGATCCAATCCATCCACGGGGCGGAAAAAAAAGAAAGACTCTTCAAAGACCTGGAGAAAGGTTCACTTGAGGTCACCACTAAACCCAGCCGAGAAGGACCAGATGTTGGTATGTATAATTCTCTTTAAAACATCCATCATTTGCTACTTCATTCGTCATGCTTTAAATTTGCGACTTTGCTCTGATACCATGTTAGATTTTAAAACTTTATGAATGTTAAGGCAAAAAAAAAAAAAATAGTGTTGGAAACGTTAGTTCTCTTTTGTCGTCTATTACATCATCATTAGATCTTATCCTATTAATTATAGTTACTTAGAATTAAGTGCTACAAATGATTTAATACAACATCAAATTTCAAGAATTGAGTCATTACTACTATACAACAACTCTAATCTAATATTGGATGAATATGATCTTTAGTTTTGGATGCGGGCAAGGATAAGATAAGCATTACATGGAAGCTAAGCTCGACGGGCTCTACAAAGGAGGCTGAATTTAAAACCATCAAAGTAAAGCTATGCTACGCTCCACCTAGCCAAGTTGACCGACCATGGCGCAAGACCCATGACGAGCTCTTCAAAGACAAGACATGCCCACACAAGATCGTGGCCAGGCCTTATGACAAAACTACTCAATCTATTGATTGGACCCTTGAGCGTGACATCCCCACCGGAACCTACTTTGTTCGTGCCTACGCGGTTGATGCCAATGACCATGAAGTTGCCTATGGACAAAGCACCGACGATGCCAAAAAAGAAAAACTCTTCAGCGTTCAGGCTATCAGTGGCCGCCACGCGTCGCTAGATATTGCCTCCATCTGCTTCAGCGTCTTCTCCGTGGTGGCTCTTGTCGTCTTCTTTGTCAACGAGAAGAGGAAGGCCAAGATAGAGCAAAACAAATGAGTCGTTTGCTTTGCGTATTTGTGACCCAAAAAAAGTTGACTTTGAACTTTCTTGTTTACCAATTCCTTTTGTCTTGTTGCTCACTTCCTCTTTCCTATATGCTTTTATTTATTATGTGTTTGTACAATTAAGCCATTCATATGGAGCAAAACTAATCCTACGGTGGTGATGCGTTGTGTGCTTTTTATATATTTTTATACACTTTTTGATATATTCTTACACACTTTGTTTTCACAAAAATTAATATTTGAATGTTTTGTGGTAATCATATTTAAAGTACAGTATAGATAATTGATTTCTTGCTTTCAAAGAGAAATCATTATTATAATTAAGCAAGAATTTTATATCTGGGAATTATGATATATAAGTTGTCTAACAGTTTCAAAATATGAAACAAAAACTATATATATATATATAATCAAAAATTTCAAAATACCAATATATTTGTATATATGAAATAAAAACTAAAGTCTAAAAACTTCTAGTTTTAATAAATGAATGGAATATAATAAAAGCTGCAAAAAGAAAATAGTGGGGGTATATAATAACAAAATAACAATATATATATATATATATATATACTATATGACTTCCGAAGTAAAAAGGATTTTTCGTACTACTATATTTTGAATTTGCAAAGTTGTAAAGAGATTGAAAGAAACCTTTAATGTTTGTCGTCTAGACCTGAAAATTGATATGCGTATTAAATCTAAAAGTGATAAGCATGAACTGATGAATTGCTGACATCGATCCTGATCATCATTAAGATCTAGTTTGGGGTTACTCAAAATGTCAAACATGTCGACACATAAATAAGATTACTATATTTGTAATAGTAGTAAATGTACTGACGTCAGACAATGTGAGTGTGAGTATAATATACTAATATGCAAATGCATACGTACAGTACTGAGGCTAAAATGTGAATACAGCTTTCGTCCAAAGTTTTAATTTTTCGTTCATGCAAAAGTCATTGTTATGCTGTCTGATTGATATAACTATAAATTTAAATAAATTGGTTCTCTGCTAGTATACAAAAAACAAATTAGAAGTTGTTGCCCACCGTCTTTCTCATCAACCAAATTGAGCCACTTGTTTGGAAAACCAAATGTCATAATCAATAGGGCTTATCAATAAGCTGTGCTGGTTATTACAAAATTGAAAAGTCCATCTAGCCGAATGACGAAATAATTATACTATTGTTTGCTAACTTTTATCATTAACGATACATTGACTTTTCATGGTGGAACCCATTCCCAAGAGACATGGAGCCAAACAAGCCACGTTCAAATGGTTAAGTTCTCTGTACGGACGTAGTACCTTTTTTTATGTTCAACACAATAAAAAAACAGCCATCAAACTGTTTCTTTTGAACACTGAAAAAAGTAAGAAACATGCAAATTTGGTTTTTGCAACCTTATCTTATAAAATGATCAAGATATAAATGAAACATCAAGGATATGAAGAGATGTAACTGAGAATAGGTGGCAAGCGGCAACATGTCACTTGAGTTGGGTAGTTTATCTTTTTTTTTTTTCTTTTTCTTTTTCTTTTTTTAAGTCTACAATATATAGATTTAAAAATGTTGAATACTCTAAGAAAAATGTCTGACAAATTTTTAGGTGCCAAAAGCTACTTAGGAAATCGCAGTATTGAAGAGAAAAAAATAAAGAGAAACATTGTCTTCATTTTTTGATATAAGACTCTTTGGATCGGAGATGCTAAAATTTAGATGTTTCCAACTGAGTGAAAAGGCTAAATGATGCCAAAACTTCAAGGTGTGTCAAAAGATACAAAGGTTTTAATTTCCTTGTGTTATGTCTTCAGTCACTATCTCTTTCCTTGTCGATTTTATCACCGTATCAAATTCCATGTATTAAGCGTGCCTGAAGTAGCTTTCAAGCATCTGGATGAGCATGACCCTAATATTAATCCTAGCAACGAACTTGCGGTATTCCAACACATAAAAATCACCAACTTGTTTCGAGTAAAGGTTCTGCAATGATTTTAATTAATTTCTAGCGAAGTTCAAAAAGTTTTCAAACAATGTGAAACAGGCACGCTTAAATTTTTCAACTGATCTTTCCCTTGCCAACCCATTTCCTTCCATTGCATAGACACAATTCTGTTTAGCTTTTCTACAAGAAAGGCAAATTTCCAAGGATCCTTCCTGATGGAGATTAAATGATAATGATTCTCCGTCGTCATTCCTGTCCATGTGAAACACCACAGAGCCAAACGCAAATTGGTCCACTCCAACCTACATCCACATAGGGTCTTAGAAGGATTCCACCTGAAGATCATTCAATGCCGTTTGGATGTTGGCTTTGCAACACAACACTTCATGAGACAAAACTCCAACAGCTCCTCACGGTTGCTTATGTTCAGAGTATCCCCCAAGATTTTTTTTTCCATGATGGTCTAGTGTCTGATCCAGATTTTTTTTTTTTTTGCTTTATGGCTGCTCAAGTTATACTGTAGGAAACTTTTTGTAAACCCCTGGAACTCCGAGCACTGTCGGTTGAAACTGGAGCCAGT